CTTCAGATCGTTCCTGTAGTAAACATTGACTTATTCACATATATACGTTTGAAGTTATAGCTATATATATTATCTGCAATTGTATACACAGGTCTTCAGATTGTTCCTGTAGTAAACATTGACTTATTCACATATATACGTTTGAAGTTATAGCTATATATATTATCTGCAATTGTATACATAGGCCTTCAGATTGTTCCTGTAGTAAACAAGGACTTATTCAGATATATACGTTTGAAGTTCTTGCTATATATATTATCTGCAACAAAAAACACCTTTAATTCTTCTGTCTATAGTCTACACAGTTTGTAAAAACTATTTTCACACCAACTTTTTTTTTTCTTTTACTGATTAAGGTTTTTGTGATTTTTGTTTGGGGAATTTCTTGAAAAAATACATATAGTTTCTAAAACACTTTGTGGAATATTAATTTTTGGTTGAAATAAATTTGGCTACAAATTTTATGCCTTAAGTAATTTTTAGGCATGCAATTCACAGAGAGCGAAATTAACACAAAAGCTGGCAAAATACAAAGTTAACGATGATTATAAATTGATTCATCTTCACTAGTCTACAATAAAAGAAAGTCAAAGTTGTAAAATGATTAAACTTCACCAATCCAAACTGAAAGGACAAAAATATCAAAGTACATGAAAAGGAACAGAATTAAAAGTGAAGCGAGTAATTACAGACTGGAAAAAGCTTAGTATTGGCTAATGTACATGCCTATATTGCAAGGCATACAATCCTACACTTCTAGAACAATTACACCTCTACAAAAAACTATTCGCGGCAGGAATTTAGGTTTCAAAAATCTTTCAAGCCTCAAAAAAGATCAGGTTTCCCTTACATAATGAAATATCCATAAAATATTACAGACTGCTTGACTGAAATAGGCACAGTAAGAAATTTGTAAAATCAGTTAACAGAAACAGATTGAAAACTATGTTTTACCTAGACCTTTTTCAAAATTTAATCTATTTCTTCTTGATATTAGACTTCAGATGTTTTGTATCAATAACTGTTTAAAAAATGAATGAATGAAAATATCAGTTTTTATCTCATAAGATACTATTAAATTTTACGTTCATTGGCAGTAAAGTGAAAAAGAGGTAGATGTCCTTCTAAGGTCTTTCATTCAAATGTTTTAATAAATACCCATACCTTGATAATTACATAAAAATATATTAAAGTATTTTTTAAGAGCAGCTACTAAATAAACTCTTCCAAAATTAATTACAATTTATATTCACGTTTCGAGATTAAAAATTTGTTCTTCATGAAATGGGAAGACTTATTTCTAATGGAGCCATCACCTAGTAACTACTTCCTCAACCCTTTCTATAAATCGCATCCAAAGTATCGAAACAGCTTTATCAAAATAATGACAATCATCAACAACATACATTTCACAACTGAAAATGAAGAAAATTTCTCCATAAACTTTTCAAACGTCCACATCATAAGAAAAAAATTGAAGATTTGAGACTAAAATCCATATAAAAGTAACAAACTCAGAACAGTACCTTAATTGGAAATTCACACACCCCATACAACAGAAACTAAGAAATTTGAAGTGTATTATGGAAATAGAATTTAGTATACATACTGCAATCAATTTAGACAATGAATTACAAAGAACTTCTGAGATTTTCGAAAAACAATATTCAATATCAACATATCAAAAACTATACAAAGCTTAAAGATGAAAACAACTTCAACATTATTCTACACTACAGTTCTTTAAGTCTAATACATCAATGAAAAACCTAACTGTATTATGAAAAACCCTCACAACATTGAAATAAATACCCTAATTATATAAGGGCCAGAACAATATGACTAATTATCTTCCCACTGAGAATAAAAACGACAGGATCACGTATAAAATCAAATACAACTCTTGTAAACATTTTTATGTCAAAGAAACGGAGAGAGAAATGAACATCAGACTTAAGGAACATCTTTAAAGGCCCTCACATGTTATTGAACAATTCAAATAAACCGAACATATGATCAATTAAAAGAATGTTAAAATTATACAAAGAGAAGCATGCATCAACAGAAGAAAAATTGCAGAAGTAAAGTCTGATCAAAGCCAATGCTAAGTAATTGTCCAGGACCCCCCCCTCCTTTATCGGTATTACCTTATCCACCTTACACTCAAAATCTAAAATAATACCACCTACAAGCCTGTAATATTCTCTGAAATTCAAACTGCTTTATTAAATGTAAGTTACCTAATGATGACTTGATACTATTGGCTGAAACATTTAATCTTTTTTTTCTTAAGCATTTTAAACATAAGTACCTAAAGTTCTGAATATATTGATTTCTTTACATATTTAACAATACAGTCTTTTTTTTTCACATAATAATCTGGATATTTCAAAACATGTTGTGCCTTTTGACTCTAAGTTTGGGTGCTTAATTTACTTTATCTTTACTCTGGATTCTATAAATAGCATTTAGCCAAAATCCATGAAGACCGTGTCATATATGATTTGATTACTTTCTTCCTCTCTGTGTTATATGGGAGGAGTAATAAATGTACTATGAAAGCAATACACATAGGATAACATAGATACAAAATAAATCAAAACTTTGAACAAAAAAGTACAAGAAAAATTTATGGTGATTTGAGATGTCTTTTACTCAAACTATGATGTAATTCCAAGAAAATGTATATTGATGCTATTAATTTATTCCTGTGAATTACTCACTGGAAAAGTTGTTAAAAATACTAAAAAATAAATGTGAAGCCTAATTCCAAATGTCATCAGTAACCCTGGACATGATTGGGTTTTGCATTTATTTTTTGGTATTTTAACCAGCTGTGTGTGTGTTGGCTGAATAATTCACACAAATAAAATAGTAGCATCAGTACTGGATATTCTTGAAATTATGAATATATGATTACTGTGTGAGTAAAAGAGATTTCAAAACACCATACATATACACTTCATCACTGTGAGAGGCCTAGCCTTATTCTTTCCACTTGCCTTTGTCCAGGATTACAGAGGGCTGGAAATCTCCAGTAAATTAAATGATAAATTGGGCTTCACATTTATTTTTTTGCACATGAAAAAATTAGCAGTATTAAAGTATGTAGCAAAGAGAATCCTTGAAAGGAACAAGGTGATGTCTAACTTCACTTTGGATAGTTTTTTCTTTCATCAATATAATAATAATCCTTAAAATATAACCTGAAAATCATCCAATACACAAACAGTTTCACCTAAAAGAAGCTATGAAAAAGGAAATAACTGACAAATAATTACAATATTTATGAAAATGCAAAGAACAACTGGTTTTGCTGAAAATTAAAACCTCTAAATCGAGATGACGATCCAACTGTACACTGAAGTACTGGTTAATAACAAGGCTTCCATTTGTGCCAATGAGTAATATATATACATAATCTAAAGGACAACAATGGACCTATTGATCAATATAGGCCATCCCATCCAATAAACTAAATTTTAAAATAAAAATAAAACACTCAAAGTCAGCCCTTACCATTCAAATATTTATCAATCCTTCCCTTAAAATTACACGTTCCACTATATATGAAAACAATTTGTTCCAATGGCCAACCACCTTGTTAGAAAAATAAAGATGTCCTAGCTGAAGATGACTCTTACCCTGCCAAAATTTATATTTGTGTCTTCTAATCCTACCAATCTCACCATTAAGTACCAAAATTGATGATGCATCAACACTCTCAATTCCCTGAACAATCTTTAACACCTTAATCAGATCATCTCTAACTCTTCTTTTTTTGAAGAGTAAACAATTTCAAAAATCTTAACCTGTTCTCATATGACAATCCCTCCATCACAGGTATCATCCTAGTAGCCCTTCCCTGAAACATTTCTAACAATTCAATGTCATTCCTAAGGACTAACCGATGTCTATACAATGAAATTATAACCTTTTTAGACACATATCATCCTAGTAGCCCTTCTCCGTAACATGTCTCTAACAATTCAATGTCATTCCTAAGGACTAACCGATGTATATACAATGAAATTATAACCTTTTTAGACATATATCATCCTAGTAGCCCTTCTCCGTAACATGTCTAACAATTCAATGTCATTCCTAAGGACTAACCGATACCTATACAATGAAATTATAACCTCTTTAGACTTGTATTCGCTATTTCTGTAGATACAACCTAAAATCTTATTTTCCCTGCTGCTAGCAACAGCACAAAGCTTGGATGGCTTAAGATACTGATAAACCAGAACACCAAAATCCTTTCACAACACTGTTAAGGTTATTCCCATGATAACTGTACTCATAATTCAAATTATACCTCTCATGCATTAAATTACATTTATTATAAGTAAAAGCCATCTACCATTTATTTCCCTAAGTCACTAAATAATCCTAATCCTTTTGTACAGCAACAGCATCATCCTCACAGCTAGCAACACCCAAAACCTTAATATCCACTTATAACAACCTTCTGCTGTCCATCCAGCCACTTTTCAATCCAATAAGACAACTTATCTCCTATACCTACAGATATATTTTTTTTAACAAGCCTTCTATGTGGCACCTTGTAAAATTCTTCCTGAAATTTCCAGATTCATCAAATCCACACCTGTACTCTCATCTACATTACCAATAACCTCTTCAAAGAATGTCAAAAGATTTATAATGCAAAATTTTCGCCTGGTGAAACCATGCTGACTATCCAACAAAATTTTACAATTTGTTAAATGACTTTGGAAAGCATTTTTTATCATACTTTCAAAAACTTTTCCTACCACTGATAACGGCTAATAAACATATAATGAGAGAAGGTGATATGGCTTTGGGATATTTATTTACAAATAAATTTAGAACAGCCAAACATAAACTATAAAATAAAATAAAAAACAAAGTATTCACAACTGGAACAGTAAATAGTGTTATGTTACTCAGTAACTATACTACAAATACTGTATGCATAAAAAAGTTTTGAAACTAATTTTACTGGATGTCAAAACTGTACCAAGAAAAGGTTTTTATAAATGTTTCTAGTGTTTTACATCAATACATTTGTTACTTCTGACCAAGTTTCTTGTACATTTTTTTTACATTTTATACATAAATTGAGGCATTACTACCAATAATCTCACTTTCAAATGATCCTGAATATACATTTTCCACAGCCTTATAGCTTTTTGAATCTTCCTCACTAGGCTTAAGGTATTCCAGGTCTTGGAAATTATTTATATAACAATCATTTTCTTTTTATTCCCTCTTTTACATTTCCTGCAGCAACATCACTAGACTGGTGCTTAATCAACATCTTTGCCTCACCAGGGTCCCAATCACATAGCTATGAAATGAAACTGAAAGTTTGGAGTTTTTGGGTCTTCAAACCTCTGCCTCATCGTTTACCAACACTTCTCTGTTCTCATATGTCCAGAAACCATTCAAATCAATCAAGATACTGACCACAGTATCACCTTGGCCACTGTCATGAAATAGAAAATGATAAGAGCATTTAATTTTTCGAATATATGTAAAAAAAAGAAAGAAAAAAGCTATATTTTTTAAAGCCTAGTTGTAGTCCATAAGACATTGTAACAGACTGTTACACTATAAAATTAGGTAAACACTTCTCTAAAATTTTACTCACACTTACCTCCTTAACCACTTTCAATATTAGTGTCATTGGCTTAAGACAGTATTAAATATTTCTAATGTAACATTTTTCATATACAACACCAGATCTAGGCCCCAAACTTAACGAATGAGTGGGAAAATGGGGCTGGATAGCAATCTTTAAATGTACTTGCGGGCCACATCATATAAAGCAAAAGTGAAATTTAAAAAGACTGCAATTTTTTTAGGAAAATTTCTTGTTATTACCATAAAAAAGGGTACAAACAGAGTAGTAATAGAATATACAGTCAATGAGAGTGTTATTCAAATAATAAAAGTTATAAAAATAAAATGTTTTAAATCATTTACTGTAACAGCAGGTGGTTCAGATGCATTCATAGCTAATAATCCATATTTAAATATCATATAAGTTTTAAGTTCTTAAATTTACAAGTCAATATTGAAAAAAATCCTAACTTTCCCCTAGTGTGAGAAATGTGACATTTTTTCTCTTGGCATCTCCTCTTCTCTAATATATTACCCACCTCTCCAATAAGTGTGAAATTTTAATGTAAATTTCTCACTATAATATTGTCACCACTCAAACAAAGCATAATTTTCCTAGCCTTCAATTGTGTTTGGTTACAAAGCTATCACATTGAAAATCAAACCCCTCTTGCCACACCCACCTGTTACATCCTCTCTTTCAGGATTTGTTAATAGTCCTCTCTTATGTTTAATACCATATTATTTATAACCAACAAAAAGCCAAGGTTTTCATCTATCAAATGGTGTATTATATTACATTGTTTTCTGTAAATTTTGTTTTAGTACAAGCTTTGTTCCCACAGAAAAGATATCAACTAGCTTGAATGAATTTGTAATAGCTCTTGTTGTATAGTTAGACAGACTACAGTGGTGACTGCCCCTATATACACAATAATAGTAAGCATGACAAAAAAAGAATAATTCAAATGAAAATGAGCTCATTATATTTGTTAAAAGTAATTTGATTCCAGAATTTTATCAGTTTGTAGGCATTCATAATTTTTTTTTTCCTCGATTTATTACTGGAAAAAATATTTTTTCTTGGGCAGCTCATAGGCCAGATTCAATTATATTTTAAGAACTCATTACAGGTCAGATGCTGCCCATGGGCCATAAATTGCAAATACCTGGTGTAGCATATGTTACAATTTTTAGAAACCTAAGAATATTACAAGAGAAGTAAGATTAATTAATAGCATTAAAAAGATGACATTTAGATCAAGTATATCATACATGCATAACAAAACTAAAACCTAGTAAGACAAGAATAACAAAAGCTACAATGTTTTAAAAACAGTACTGATTTACCAGCTAAAATAAATAAAATCTCGGTGTGTGTGTGTGTGCGTATTTTTTTTTTATCGTGCTTCACTTGTTGGGACTATATTAAGATAAGTGCTAGTTTTTTACCTCTAGTATTGTAAAATATATTAATAACATTTACATATTTTAAAAATGGATATGATGTTGATCTAATGTATTAAAGCTAGAAACTGCATTTTTATGAGATCAGCTAAAGCTTTCTTCTGTAAGATATCTTACTAGAACTACAACTACATCACCATTCACATTTAGATTTTAAATTTAGTGGTCACTTATTACAAATATTATGAATCTTATTAAAAACATAATTCTTCATCACTATTATTTTAAAAGTACTGTATGAGGGTAATCAGTGACAGTATTGTTTGTCAGAGAAAGTAAGTGTACTTGTATAACTATGAAATTTTTCATATAGGATTGTCTTCAACCTTAATTTCAAGCCTCCAAACTAATTTTTGTATTAATTTCTCCCTTACACCAAGTAAAGTGGCACTGAAATTATTACTTGATCAAGTAAAATAACCAATTCACTATACAATATTTACACTTCTACACAATGTATAGCACACTTAAAATTCGGAGCAGTGGTCTTACTATTTTTTTTTTTTATGATACAACCTTAAAGAATGGATTTCAAGGAATGTTTCTAATCCTTAATGTGCATTAAAGACAAAAATATATCTTTCATTTTACATGTTTCAATAGTCTGCATAATGTTTTAATATTTTGACCACCTGTGTTTGAAAGGAGGCTTTTAAAAGAAAAGAAAATGATTACATTGAAACTTTGGACTTTTAACTTTTGGTTGACTATACAAATTACTTGAAAAAATCGCAAGGCCATTATTTAATTTGGATATTTAAGAGCAAATTCTCACAATTGTATGCAAGTCTATGGATGTTTTTTGCAGGAAAAAAATTTAATATGCTTAGACTGTTCAATCTTCTTCATCCATGACTTGTACTCTTCATTATCGAGACATTTATTATTGAAAGTACACTGTACAGACATGGTGGTCAATTTTTGTGTAAATTAATTCATATAAACAATTAAAATTATGCAAATGGTGGCAAAACAGAAATTGGATATACAAAGTAGAGTATGTACTGCTATTCACATCAAAGGAACGCATCAAAATATTACACTTGGCAGAATACATTTTATACAATGTTTTAGCTCATCTATGCTTCAAAAATTAAAGATGTATACTTAGATCATTTCAATTTTAATAGATCTTAAATAGATTCAAATGAACATATTAAAATTCAAGGTCTGTATAAACCCTATACAAACTTTTTAAATAGTGCCTAGTTACTGTGTGAAAAAATTCACAAAATTTTGTTGTGATTCATACAGATACGGTATGACTGACAAAGATTTATTAGTGAACAATGACCTCACGTTTCAAAATGGAAACAGTACTATCTATGTCAGATTTCTTAGTGTGATATTTTACCAACAACTATAGTTCCTATCAATAAAAAAGCTTTTTTATTTTCTAATTGTGTTGGTTGACTGAATGAAATAAGCTTTATAATTAATTCTATAAAAAAAGGGTTATGTGTCATCTAAGTACTAAATGTTCAGATCTTAGTTTACCATGCTTACTAAACTTAATCTAATGCCCTGTCATAAAATAATGTCCCCCGGTGGGACAGTGATAAGTCATCGGATTTACAATGCTAAAATAAGGGATTCGATTCCCCTCAGTGGACAAAAGCAGATAGCCCAATGTGGCTTTGCTATAAGAAAACTTATAAAATAATAATCCTGTATCTTTCAAATGGATAAATACAACACAAAATATTACCAAAAAAATCCTCAAAAACTATTCAAAAAAGTCCCAGTCCTCTAATTAGTTCCAGTTTATTTCAACTCTGTTGTAGAAACACAAGTGTAGAGGATGATATCTCGAAACGTTGTCCTCTACACATGTTTTTACAACAGGCACTTGCCGTCCATTCAACTTAGTTTCATCATGAATACTCTGCCTAAACTATCTATCAAAGAAAAATAAAGCTACTAATGAATTGTTGAAACACTATTTGGAAAAATGAATTTAAGCTTAAGATTAAGAAAAAATATACCTAACTAGGATTATAAAGTTCACAGTTATGAAGACATGACAGAATGAAAGTTGGAACATTTTTTAATTTTTATTTATGAAACAAAATAAATAATCATCATAGTGTTAAAATGTCAATTTTACAATACTGATGTGTAAGTATTGTTGAAACAAAATTATATCAGTAATTAATTTTTACAATACTGGTTTGTAAATAATTGTTGAAACAAAATTATATCAGTAATTAATTTTTACAATACTGGTTTGTGAATAATTGTTGAAACAAAATGATATCAGTAATTAAATTTTACAATACTGGTTTGTAAGTATTGTTGAAACAAAATGATATCAGTAATTAAATTTTACAATACTGGTGTGTAAGTATTGTTGAAACAAAATGATATCAGTAATTAAATTTTACAATACTGGTGTGTAAGTATTGTTGAAACAAAATGATATCAGTAATTAAATTTTACAGTACTGGTTTGTAAGTATTGTTGAAACAAAATGATAAGTAATTAAATTTTACAATACTGGTGTGTAAGTAATTGTTGAAACAAAATGATATAAGTAATTAAATTTTACAATACTGGTGTGTAAGTAATTGTTGAAACAAAATAATATCAGTAATTATATTTTACAATACTGGTGTGTAAGTAATTGTTGAAACAAAATGATATCAGTAACTAAATTTTGAGAGTTGAGTTACAAGTGAATAAAGTGAATGATGATTTTCATTCCTTCAAGAAGTTCACAAAAAAATTTAAATTTGCACTATAATAAACATTCTAAAACTTCTTATAAAATAAGTACATAAACACACTAATTTTATGTAGTGAAATTTCTGCCACAAGTAAAAAGAACAATGATAAGTTTTACCTGAATAATGACAAGTTTTCCTTTAATACATTTGGTTTTAAATACAAACTTAACCCTAAATTTTTTTATTAAGATTGGTGTTGCTTTCTCAACAGCTTTGTCAGAGACAATAAGGAGGTTTAAGTATAACACAACATATTCAAGCATTCATAAGGAAACCTACCAATCAATTAGATTTTGTAATGTTATTTTCAAAGGATCTTCAGGCTTTACCATGTCAAAGATCTCGTCTTTCACATCTTCAAAAGAAACTGGTTCCTGTCCATGAACCCTCATCTGTTCTTGTATGGCCTGAAATGTTCAAACAACTAGACTTCATATGTGTGTATACGCACAAGTAACTGTTTGCTAAGAAAATATTACAAAATATTTGTCTTAGAAAACACATAATACCACAACCAATCTGGAGTATATGGCATTATTATGTAAATAAGTAAATAAAGAACAAATTCATCCACAACATGGTCAGAAGTTCATGTTTAAGTAAACTGAGCATCATCATGATTGTTTGGATGAAGTACTAGCACAATTATTCCAGCTCTTTAAAATTTTTCATTTCATATCAGTATTCTTTTATCAATGAACAAACTGATTTATTGAACATCAAAAAGTGAATCTGTTGCAAAGGTAACTCAGGAGCAGCATGAACAAAATCTTTAATTATTACGAAACTAAGGTACACAACTAACTTGCCAAAAGTACTTACAAAATCTCTACAAGGTTTATATATTTATTGAATCAACAGTTAGATAAGTTTTGTTTTAAGTATATGTACAAATACAGAAAATGTATTTCTCTTTCAAGGATACACACTTACCCTAAAGAAGAAATTCAAAGAAAATATATTTAAGTATCCTTTGCTTTGCACATCAAGTATACGGAAAAAGTATCTCAAAGACTGAGGCTCTTTACGATTTTCTAATGCCAGCACAAAATCTAGGTATGTCTTGTAGTCCTACAAAAATATAAGTTGGTTATTAGATTAAGCTTTAATAAGATTCTGAATTGCCTTTTTAAGTCTAAAATATTGTAACACCTTATAAGAAAGGGAAATACATGTTATTACAAATCTCAATATCACATTTCAAAGAAATATTTGCTGTCACTAACTTATGCCTATAATATCACACAAATTTCAAAATTTACTTTAGACTGAAGTATTTTTGGAATTTTCAAAAATTATTAAAATAAAATTATACTTTAATGAAGTTTGGTTAATTTCAAAATTCCTTTTACTACAATGTTTGTAGTATCTTCTTGCAATACAGGAAATTCATGCATATAAGACAAATTTCATCTCTTGTAGCAGATGAGATGAAATGCTTTAAGCTGGTAAAGTCTTTGCTTGTAGCAGATGGCTTGTAGCAGATGTGATGAAAGGCTTTATGCTGGTAAAGTCTTTGAGACTTTACCAGCATAAAGTATTTCATTTGCTACAAACAAAGACTTTATCAGCATAAAGCATTTCATTTCATCTGCTACAAACAAAGACTTTATCAGCATAAAGCATTTCATTTCACCTGCTACAAACAAAGACTTTACCAGCATAAAGCCTTTCATCACATCTGCTACAAGCAGACTTTACCAGCATAAAGTATTTCATTTGCTACAAACAAAGACTTTATCAGCATAAAGCATTTCATTTCATCTGCTACAAACAAAGACTTTATCAGCATAAAGCATCTCATCTGCTACAAGTAAAGACTTTACCAGCAAAAAGTACATCTACTATGTCTCTCAACAATCCACAAGACCTACACAAAACAGCTCCCCATCATAAGTCACACTCATTTTTATTCTATTTATAAACAAAGGTCAAAAATGAATTAACTACGAACTTATGCTTTAAACTCATGAAAATTTCTCACATTTTCACACAGCTTTAAGAGTTTGATATTAAAATTGCTTAACATGTTTGGTATTTTCAACCTAAGGGCAACTTGTGTGACAAATGGCTGAAATGAATAGGTTAGAGTCCCGTAATATTTAAGTTTAGCTATATCTAATTCAGAGTTAATGATCATGGGAATAACAATCTTCAGCAACACCTATCACTTTGAACTGAACAACAGGACTCACTGTCATAATTATAATACCAATACAGCTAAAAGTGTCATTAGCATATAGCAGTTCAAATCTTGAACCTTACAGTCCTCAACTTGACACAAAGCCATGACTAGCCCATGCTTACATATATTGAACAGGCAACACATGAAAGCTAAACTCCTCTTCACTTCATTAATTGGAGTGAATTAATACTGAATTTTTGCTTGTCCCAAAAACGTTTGTATCTCATTGTTTTACTGAGGCAATGTGTTTTAGCTTTAAGTTTTTCATGAAGTTCAATAAAAACATTTAAAAGAATTCAATAATGAAGTGACAAGCATCAACACTGCTAATCATTGATTGACATTCTTATTCATCTACAAAACTTGAGGTCCTAATAACTCCCCCAACTCCATAAATTTACTTACCATTTCTCCATCATAGGTTAAGTACTCCTGAAACACCCTCTCAACAAACACATCTGTAAGTGTTCCTGTTCCATATCTGAAAAGTTAGAAAGATTATATCTCCATTTTAATTTTCAAAGCTGAAATCATGTTAGTAAAGATTACAATTTCTATAGATTCATACACCAAATGCATTATTCCAACAGAAGAGAACAGCACAACATCAGGAACAAATCAATGTAGCTGAATATACATATTACAAGTTAACATTTATTAACAAACACATTTAACTTTAGTTGATGAAATTATAAAATTAATAAATTTTACTTAATTAGCAGATAATAAATTAATTGCAAAAAATATGTAAGTATTACTTAATACACAAATACTTAATAACTGATGCAGGTAATCAGTTATGAAAAATTCCAAGATGCACCCACAAAACTAATTTTAATAACAAGAATAAATAATATTTAGCATGAAAAAATTTAAATGTGAAGAAATTCTAAAAACAGAGTAACAAAGTACACATAATATGATCTTGTGTATGATATGTTTTTGCTATTCATACTACAAAGAATATGTCTACTCCTACATGTCAACCTTATATGTAACAAAAAGAATGTATTATATGCTATGTTAGATGGAATATAAGTAAAATGACCATCTAAATAAAATAAATCACATGATTAACAGTAAACAAGATATTTTAATGCTACTCAATCCTTATCATCATTTTCACAGCGGCTAATAATAAGGGAAGTGATGTTAAAGCTAAAAACTTCTAGAATCAACTGACCTATTTCATAACAGATAATAATAAATCTTCTTTGTTTCAAAAATTTCTGAGAAACCTTCATTTTGACAATTATTTAGTGAGACTGAAATTTTAACAGTGATTTCACTTTCAGAAATGAGAAGAAGTATAAAAACACCGATATATATGTATGGTGTTGTGAGATGTGTTTTACTCCATCACTATATGAAGGCTGGTCTTATTCTTTCCATTAGTGCATGTACAGGGTTACTGATGAAGAGTGGAATTCTCCAACACCAGTATAACTCAGTGACATTTATTTTTTAGTATCATATTTCTGTCTAAGACTTTGATCATTTTCTTAGAATTAACCATTCTATGTCATCTCATATGGCAGTGATTAGAACTGGCAACTGACATTCAGATCATTCTCTACAAGACTAAAAAAAACTATCTGTGTGATTGAACTGGGACAAAACTATATTTATCGAAATATTATACCATTAAAACAAGCTAAGCAAACACATGCAAAATGAATTCTGAATGATAAAGAAAATGGCATAGTGAAGTGTATGAAAACTGTGTATTAGTTGGTGAAAGATTTACCCCAGATTAAATATGAAAGTATGATACTCTGGTATGAATAAAATAAATGTGTCTGAGAAGGCTATATATGCATCAGTGAACACAGCTAATGGGATGTTGTCTTCAACTGCTAGTGTGATAAGTCATGACATTGACAAAAAAAACTGAAATGTTCACCAGTTATAAACGTGTTAGATGATAAGAGTTGTGACACTGGAATAAAAACACTTGTAGTATATAGAAACATTTGAACCAAGTACCACACTACTGAAAAATGTTAAGGTTAGAGATGGGACAGGGCCAACAGTCCCAAAGGCTATCTTAGAAAGTTTAGATGAGAGGCAGGTATCAATGTGAAAGGTTTATGGGTTTGGAAGTGATGGCACAAAAGTGATAACAGAGGTAAAAGAGGGTATATGACAGTACAGCTTCTATGATCTTGAATTATCATTGTATTGCACACAGATTAGTATTACTCAGCTCACAGGCTGTTAGTAAAATACCTTAACTTAACATGTTCGCTGCCATGTGCCCCACCAGTAGGTCACAACCACCCTTTAGTCATGGATAGTGTGACACACTGGTGAGTGACATGTAACAAATGGCTTCAATGAGCTAATTAAACCTAGTATAGTTATCCATATAAATATTAGACACCTGCATTAAGTAAAAAAAGAAAAGTGTGGTTGGCACTATGGTAGGAATTATTAATTCTACTGGTGGCAGCAAACGTGTTAAGGAGTATCAAGAGACTGGAATGTTTTATGTCTTTAAGGAGTTAAGAGAGCTATAGCAGCTACAAGAAGATGACATCAACATAAAAGAAGTACATGAAGTAAAATGGATTTCCATCTACAAGACAGTAGACACCGTGTTTACATCCCTGAATTCCCTTATCACATTATTCAGCACAGAAAAAGATGCTAAAGCAAAGGTTATGCAAAGAAACCTGCAAGTTATGATTTTTTATGCACAACATACATCCTGAGAGACATACTCCCTATTATCACCGAGTTGTGCCTGGTTTTCCGGATAAAGGAATTGGATGGGTTTGCAGTCCAGAGAAATATTGATCACAGTATAAGATCACTGAACAAATACAAAAATGCTAAAGATCAGAAGAAATATCAACCCTTTCTTAAGATCATCTGATTGAAGAAGGAGCAGGCTTGTATATAAAAAATAATTATATTATTTCTACAGGTGCAAGAAATATTAATGCACTGAAAGGCACATTTATAGAGAAAAACTTAATGAAAAGTTCCCACAGAACGACTCTCAGAACATATATGCAATGGGTGTACGTGGAATGAGACCAATTACATTTCTGTCAAACAACGATCTTTCAGACTGGTGTAATAGCAAAATTAAGACCCTGATTAACAACTTTGGAAGTACAAAAGAACATAAGCATGATAAGAGTGTAAGCCCAGCAGAGGCTGTAGTAGATTCAGAGAAAACAAGAACAGAGTGGTCAAAAGTAAAATCACAGGTTATTAATGTTGGTTACCCATGAAACAAGCACAGTGTGCTATGAGGATGGATCAATTGAAATCATGAGGAAGAATACCCAAACTTGTTAAGTTGGCTGCCATTACAGTTACTACTCTATCCATACTGCTGATTATGAAAGAAGTTTTAGTGTCCAGAATATCACATGTGTTTTGAAAAGCCAGCATTTGCAAGGCAGGGAAGTGGGCAGGCACTATCCCCATGCTGGCTTTTTCCATGATATTCCATGGAAGGTACAGTATGGAATGGAAAATGAACCATATTGGTCTTGTAAAAAACCCAATCTGAATTGTGGACTCAAAGGAACCAGTGTGGATAGGCTTAACAATTATCATTACCTGAACTGATGTAGATTTAGGGAAATAAGTATACCCTGTGAGGCAATAACAGCCACAGAATAGGTTCTGAGATGGTGATGAGACTATTAGTAAATGTGGGTAAAGAAATAAATGAGGTACAAAATTGGAGAGCATACCAAAGGGAGGAGAAGTCTAGATGAAGATGAAATTGCTAGATGATGAAAAGGTTTGTTAGGTGTTGTCCACCTTTTTCTGTAAGATCTCATTCAATGGTCACCAAAAATATGAGGCCAAAGTGAGGCAAGAGACAAATTTGAAGAGAAGTAGCATGACAAAATCTCTAAGTATCATCCTCTGGTAAAGAAGTCTGGATGACAGGTAACAAAAGGACAGCTCAGAGGCAAAGATTGCTTGATGGGCCAGTGGTGATAAAAATGACACTGGCATCAGCGAACAAATATAATAAGGATGATTTGAGCAGTACAAAAGAAAAGCAGCGCAATATAAGAAACTGTCCATCAAGGAAAAACAATCAGTTCCACACGTGATGATGAAGGGACAACATTAACAAATGAAAGAATAATGTAGTAAGTTGGAGTAAGAGGAATCTTTATGGTGTAAGAAGAAGTGCCTAAGATGCCAGTTGGTAGAGAAAAGGAAATCAAGACAATAAGATGCTACCAACAGGACTTGAGTATACGTGTCACAGGACATTGCAAAGACACATGGGAGAAACTGGATAGCAGGGAATAGATACAGAAGAGACCGACACAGGTTAAAAGTGTCTACAGCCAGAGCAGCCAGTGGTAGGATCAGGGATCAAAAGAGATAAGGTGACTAGACACTCCATGACGCACAGATGAAATGGAAATGGATAAGCCCAAATGTGGTGTGAAGAGAAAAGGATTCAAAGTGGATCAAAGTCAGGAACAACTAAGAAAATAAGACCAACCATCCTAGACAGCCTTACAGAGGAGAAAGGATGTGGCTCTAGAAGATGTCAACTGAGTAGAAGTGAAAAGTAGCCAAACGTCTAAAAAGGAATGAAAATGAAGGCTGACAATGTGGGTGTGTAGATTGAAAGCTGAAGACATATGAAACAAAAGCCAGGCCAAAGAGTAAAGCCTGAAACTGGCATACTGTAAGGTGATGGGCAAATCAAAGGAAACATCGTGATGATGGGGCTATTGGAATGTGAAAAAATTGAGTTGAAGACATGGACTGTCTTTATCCAAAGGCCAAGAAAAAAACAACCCATTAACTCTTTCAACCTGGACTCGGTACCTGGGACCGACCTCGTAACCATTTTGTCCTTGTTATAGTTTTCATATCTCTTAACTTCTAAATTAGAAAGCGAATGTTACTGAAATTTGGCACATTATCAGTAAACATTACAATGCTTTCATACACAAAACATTAAGTCATAAGGTTTGTAAAGCAATATTTCTTTGATGCCTTTTTTTTTCTTCACATCTTGCCTATTTATCATGCAAAGTAATTTTGATTTTAAGATTTTGAAATTTCACATGCAAAATGTTTAAAATGTTTCTTAAGAAAAAACTTTATATTTTATCTGTTATTTTCAGTAATTAATCTCTGTACGGGTTCTGTAGATTTGAACAATCTCACAACAACCATAAAAAATTAAGAAATAAATATAAATTATGCCTCTTTCATTCTAGAATGAACACAAATCATAACACAAAAACATATAGATGAAATAGCTTAAATCTCATAACATTATACATTTATATATATTCATTTTTATTATATTGACCTTTCACCTGTGCCTGGCTAACAATACAGAAGCTACAACGATGGGGCTCATGTGCACTCATGTCACCGTATCAA